GTCTTGTTCGTTTTTCCTGAGGTAGTTCTGGCATAACTTGGATTTGCATAATTGCATAATTTGCACGTAGGCGCATATCAGAAGGTATTGAATGGCGCTGCAGAGTGCTGTGGTAGCCGTTTTGGTTCAGGGTGCCTCTCGCTCTGTACAAGTCACTGGCCCTGGATTCAGGAAAATAGCCCAGACATTCGCAGTTCTTCCTCCATGTTTGACAGTTGATGCCACATACTGCGGAATCATCCTTTCGCCTACTCGATGGCATACAATGATTCTGTGTGATGAATCAGAGATTTCAAATTGTGATTCCTCAGTCCATAATACCCTTTTCCAGCCTTCAGTAGTCCAATGGAGCTGTGTCATGGCCCAGGCAAGCCTCTTTGTCTTATTCTGATGTCTTAGCAATGGCTTTCTTGCTGCCACACGTCCTGTCAAACATACAGCTCGAAGTCTTCTCTTCACAGTTGAAATTGAGACTTGCTTACAAAAACCACTATTATGGTGGTGTGTAACAGAACCATGGCAGACCCACTGACATGTCCATGCTTTTCAGCATTTACTTTTTTTCACACACACAGTTGGTTTTACAAACCACAGCTGCAGCTCCCCGTTCACAGCTCACTCTCTGACAACATCAACATAAACAGTCAGCACAGACTTTTAAGCCAGTGATGCATGAGTGTGGATGCCACCCCTGCAGCAGCACTGCAGACCATGCCCTGCCACAGGGTGTTCTTTTTTTAAGAGTATTTATAAGATTTTAAGTTCAAAATTATATAAAATCACACCAGACAAAGGAAATAAAATTCAAAAACAACAACATCAAAGCTAAAACTTTTGTATATGTATGTAAGTGTATATTTATATAAATGTGCAGCTAACTATTGGAGCTGCAGAAAGGTGCAGTGATGAAGAGGGTGTGTAGGAAGTACAGTACAGCAAGCTGTCCATACCTGAGTCCTTGTAAACTGCCATGCAAAGACAGCCTTGGCCAGCGGCTGGAAGAGGTATACCAGAAAGATAGAAGGCAGGAGAATAAACCAGGTGTAGTCTACTGAACCATCCAAGCTATACTCTCTGTGCCAAAGGAACGATATGACAACAGCCCCACCGTTGCTGTAGATGGAGCAATAATGGAAGAGCATCTGGGAGAAGAATGTAATCCATAACAGCAATGCTTATTCGATCCTGTTCAGGGAGGTTGCTGTGGTCTGCTCTGAGAGCCGCAAGTCACTAAGCGTCACAGTTGCAGACAAGAAAGATTCTTTAGTATGAAGAATTGGATAGCACCAGGCCCTGACATGATTCACACCTACTGGCAGAAGAATCTGACTGCACACCATGAACATCTTCCAGCACAAATGAACCAGCTACTAGTCACAGACAGACACCCAGAATGGATAACTGAAGGCTGGACAGTTCTGATCCCATGGACCCCCAGATGGGAACAGTCCAATCAACTACTGGCCAGTAACCTGCCTTAGTACTGTATGGAAGCTCCTGTCAGGCTCCTGTTCATCATAGTGGCTAAGATGAACAGGCACATGGCTCAAAACATGAGCAAGGCACAGAAAGGTGTGTGTGTCCTTGGGCAAGACACTTCACCTGTTGCCTACTGGTGGTGGTCAGAGGGCCTGGTGGCGCCAGTGTCCGGCAGCCTCGCCTCTGTCATTGCGCCCCAGGGTGGCTGTGGTTACATTGTAGCTTACCATCACCAGTGTGTGAATATGTGCGTGAATGGGTGGATGACTGGATATGTAAAGTGCTTTGGGGTCCTTAGGGACTAGTAAAGCGCTATATAAATACAGGCCATTTACCATTTACCAAAGGTATTTGCTATCTACCAGTTTTTAACTGCTCTGGTATCTCAGTACCTCAGTTACCCCCCTTAATCGTGGCGGCTGCCTGCCCTCTTCCTCCCTCTCCACCTCCACCCATGCGTGAGCACACCTTACCTGTGTCTGAAAAATTTTCAGGGGATATAGATAAGTGCAGAGGCTTCTTAACCCAGTGCGCCAACAGACTCAAGCTTATGCTACCAACGGTGCCAAAATTGCTCTTATAGTACAACTCATGACTGGGAGAGCACTGAAGTGGGCTCAGGCAGTGCTGTGTTCCAACCCCAATGTTTCTTATCCTGACTTTCGGACCAAATTCCGCTGTGTTTTTGATAAAGGTTCTAATCCGGATGCAGCTGCTCACCGTTTGTTTTCATTAAAACAGTGCAAAAAGAGTGTGGCAAATTTCTCTGTGGATTTTTGGATTTTGGCTGTGGAGACTGGCTGGGATGAAAAAGCACTTCGGGGGGCATTTCTCAATAACCTCAATGAAGGACTCAGACGTGAGTTGGCCACCAAAGAATTACCCAAATCTTTTGGATGCTTTGATGATGCGAGAATACAGAGGACGGTCTGAGGAAGCCCGCAGGGCAACAGGAAGCCCAGGTGGTTGGCTGAGGAGACAGAGGAGGAGCCAATGCAGCTAGGGCGAGCTAGATTCAGCAAGCCGGGGTGGAGGAAGAAACGCCAGATGGGTGAGTGCTTTGCATGCGGAAAGAAGGGGCACTTTGCAGACTCTTGCCCATCCCGGCTGAAAGATTCGGCCCGTCAGTAGCTGTGGGGTTACTAATGGGTGCGACGGGAGATGTGTTACCCCACCTCAGTTGCCCCGCCAAACGTATCTTTCAGTCCATAACTCATTCCTGTAATGCACTAGTGGATTCAGGTGCGGAACAAAGCTTTAGGGTTGAAACTTTAGCCAGGAAATTGGGGGTCCCGCTTGTTTCCCTGCATGTTCCTTTACATGTGTCTGCCCTCAATGGGGAAGTGCTGGCCAAAGTCATGCATCGCACGCATGAAATCACGCTGGTTCTTTCTGGTAATCTTGTTGAAAAGATAAGTTTGTTTCTGTTTAAGGCGCCCGATACTCCATTGGTGTTAGGTTACCCGTGGCTTCAACGTCATAACCCTCAGATAGATTGGGCCCAGGGTAGTGTGGGGGGATGGAGTGAGTGGTGTCACAAGCAGTGCTTACTGTCAGCTGTTCCCAATCTGACACCGACAATGGCGAAGGACTCTGTCTGTGCTCCTCATCTCTCTGTTGTTCCAACTGAGTATCATGGTCTAGCTAAAGTGTTCAGCAAGAGTTTGGCCTCGTCGCTTCCGCCTCACCGACCTTATGATTGTGGCATTGATTTGCTTCCAGGAGCTACACTGCCCACCAGCCGCCTGTCCAAGCCTGAGTCAGCTATATTACTGACTCACTCTCGGCAGGCATAATTCGAACATCCACTTCTCCGCTTGGGGCAGGATTCTTTTTTATCGAAAAGAAAGACAAATCCCTTTGCCCCTGCATTGACTTCCGTGGTCTCGACAAAATAACCATCAAGAACAAATATCCTCTTCCTCTGCTAGCGTCCACATTCGAGTTGCTCCAGGGAGGCACCATTTTTACTAAGCTGGACCTTCGCAATGCCTATTATTTGGTTTGTATTCGAGAAGGGGACGAGTGGAAGACCGCATTCAACACGCACTTGGGCCATTTCGAATATTTGGTCATGCTTTTTGGTCTAATCAATGCTCCAGCAGTGTTTCAGGCTATGGTGAATGATGTGCTTCGGGATTTCATTAACCACTTTGCTTTTGTGTACTTAGATAATATTCTAATTTTTTCCAAGACTTGTAAGGAGCATGTTGAACATGTCAGACTGCTTCTTCAATGGCTGTTGGAGAATCGCCTGTTCGTCAAAGGTGACAAATGTGAATTTCACGTCCCAACAGTGTCTTTTCTGGGGTTTGTGATTGACCGGGGGCAGTTGAGAGCGGATCCTGCTAAGGTCAAGGCAGTGGTGGAGTGGCCGGAGCCTAAGACCCGGAAGGCACTCCAGAAATTCTTGGGCTTTGCTAACTTCTACCGTAAATTCATTCGTAACTTCAGTACTGTGGTGTTGCCGTTGACTACTCTCACGTCTCCTAAACAGCAGTTTGTGTGGTCACCCCAGGCCCAACAGACTTTTGTGCAACTGAAATTGTTATTCTCGTTAACCCCCATTCTCATTCAAGCAGATTTATCGCGACCCTTCACTGTGGAAGTGGACGCGTCGGATTCTGGTGTGGGAGCGGTCCTTTCCCAACAAGTAGAAGGTAAACTTCATCCCTGCGCCTTCTTCTCCCGTCGTCGTTCCCAGGCAGAGCGTAATTATGATGTGGGATAGGGAGCTTCTGGCAATCAAGTTGGCCTTGGAAGAATGGCGCCACTGGCTGGAGGGGAGTGTGCATCCGGTGCTGGTCTGGATGGACCACAAGAATCTGTCGTACCTGCAGACAACCAAACGCCTCAACGCCCGGCAAGCCAGGTGGGCCTTGTTTTTTACTCACTTTGATCTTGTCATCACTTACAAGCCAGGGTCATGTAACACCAAGCCAGATGCCCTCTCTCTCCTCCCGGCCAGCTGTGTGGTGGGTGCGGTGACGTGGGAGATTGAGAAGTTGATCAGGGAGGCTCTGCAACTGGAACCTGATACCGGTTCGGGCCCAGTGGGCTGACAGTATGTTCCCACGGCTGTCCGTGGCTAGGTCATTCATTGACACAGCTAAGTTCTCCTGCCATCAACCACCATCAAGTTCTTAAGATGCTTGTTCTGGTGGCCTGCTCTGGCGACGTCCAGGAGTATGTCGCTGCATGTACCATCTGTGCTCAGAACAAAGCTCCTAGCTCTCCACCCTCGGGTCAGTTACGGCCACTTGCTGTCGCATGTGGCGACAGTGAGTCGCCACATGCGACTCACAAAGTCCATGGTCTCACATAGTGGTGGACTTTGTCACTGGGTTGCCACCATCGTCAGGTAATACTGTCATACTTAAATGGTAAATGTAAATGTATTTATATAGCGCTTTACTAGTCCCTAAGGACCCCAGTCATCCACCCATTCACACACACATTCACACACTGGTGATGGCAAGCTACATTGTAGCCACAGCCACCACAGTCTTGCCCAAGGACACAACAACCGAGACTGTCCAAGCCGGGGCTCGAACCGGCAGCCTTCCGATTACAAGGCGAACTCCCAACTCTTGAGCCACGATCGCCCACTTACCATTGTTCACCGCTTTTCCAAGGCAGCCCATTTTGTGGCCCTGGCTAAACTCCCGTCTGCTTTGGAAACTGCTAAACTCCTCGCCCAACATGTTTTCTGTTTACATGGCATTCCCGAGGACATTGTGTCGGACGGAGGGCCCCAGTTCACTTCCCGGGTGTGGAAGGAGTTTTGTGCTGAACTGGGGGCCCAGGTCAGTTTGTCTTCTGGCTTTCATCCTCAGACAAATGGCCAAGCAGAGAGGGCAAATCAGGAACTGGAGGCCATGCTATGCTGTGTCGTCGCATCTAACTCGTCCACCTTTTGAAGCCTCCCTGGGTTACCTACTTCTGCTCCTGTATATCATGGAGGGGGAGCTTGTCGTGCCATCTGTCCAACATCACATTTGTCGATGTCGGCGCGCCTGGAAGGCAACGAGGGCAGCCTTGCTTTGGATGGCGGAACGGAACAAGAGCTTGGCAGACCGTCGCCGCACCCCGGCACCCGCTTACTAGGTTGGCCAGAAGGTATGGCTCTCAACCAGGTACATTCCCCTTTGGACTGAGTCCAAAAAGCTGGGTCATCGGGCCTTTCCCTGTTCATTCGGTCCTCAATCTTGTGACGTTGAAGTTGTCTCTGCCCCGCAATATGCGGATTCATAATGTGTTTCATGTTTCTCAGGTGAATCCAGTCCAGACCAGCCCGTTGTGCCCTCCTGCTGGTTCCCCACCACCTGCCCGGATTATCGACGATGCACCTGCATATTCCATAACGCGGATTATGGACGCTAGGCCCCGCGGTAGGGGCTTCCAATATTTGGTGGACTGGGAGGGGTATGGTCTGGAATGCTGGCCGCACCTGTTGCTGATCGGAGCCGACCAGCTGTAGCCAATTATCCGCCATCTTTGGGCCTGCCTTCTTAACGGGGCGATCAAGCTTCAGTCAGCACTGGATCGTTGTGTGAAGCACGGTAGAGCAGTGCGGATGGTTTTTTGTGGCACTTTACGTTGAGCTGAGGATTGCTTAGTTACTCTGTGTGTATTTGTGTGTTTGCCACTAGGAGAGAAATGGAGAGAAATCACGGGAGCTGGACTGCCACTTGGATAACTGTTTTGGAAGGAGTCACTATGTGCGTTTTCACTTCACAGCCACGAGCACTGCTAGGAGGAGAAGGAGGAGACCACACCTGGGCACCCATCACTTTATCCATTACCTCACTGTAAATAAATCCACTGTCTTCTTCTAAGGGAGTCCTGCATACGAGTCCTATTTTCCACACCTACCCTGACACAAATTGTGGTCATTAATATTTTGTACTTGTAAATCGTAGTTGTGGACTGAGTTTTGTAAACTTGTAAACCAAAATATCTGAAACCTTCTAAATACTTTCGATTACTTAATATACTTTCATGCTTTTTACAACTACATGAATGTACTATTGCTGTATGATTTATTACTATTACTGAAGGCTACTTGCCAAATTATATCTTGGGAAAAATAAAGGAGTTAGTCAGTGTACCTGAGCTTCCTTATATTGCTCTCTCAGCTGTTCAAGCATGGCCTGAAACTCCTCCTCCTTCTCCTGAGCTTCCTTTTTGACAATCTGGTTCTCCTCGTCATAGGCCATAGCTACAACACCCAGGATCAGGTTGATCAAGTAGAAGGAACCAAGGAATATTACAAGCATAAAAAAGATCACGTATGGCTTCCCAGATGTCCGCAAAGTCTGGAAAAACAAACAAGATTTTGGTGTTTTTACAGTTACTTAAAATACAGTATTGATACTTGGCATATGTGGCTATAAAATTCTACCCTTTTACAGTGAATACTTTCTATTTTAGAAGCTCTCAAATTTGAGGTGCCTGTAAATTTGTCACTTTCATTTTTTTTAAAGTAATCATCAAATCTCAGTTGTGTGGCAGGCAGGAATTGGACCCAAAATGCAAGACTCTGAAAACAATGTGTAAACCTCAAAACAGCTTCGTTGCCTAAGTCCTATTACAATAAGAACTTAAATTCAGAGCACATAATCTGACCAGCAGAAACTGGATTGGAAGAGGGCCGCACACAGTTTGAGGGATAGTGTAACAATAACCAAAGGGGAGACTGCACACAGCAGGTAATCAGAGAGATGGGAAATAACAAGGAACACGGCTGAACAGAATCTAACTGACGAGACAGAGGGGAAGCGAAATTGAACATAATATACTTGAAAAGGACACTAAATAAATCAGGAAATGAATGGATGGATGCAAATAGAATGAGACCAAATAGAACACAGAGAGACCAGACAGACACAGGAACATGACAAAGGAAGCGAAGGATAACAAAAACATTTAGACTAGACAGACTACAAAAGGACATGCTGATGACAAGACAGAGGCAAGACCAGAAAAAGCTAGCTAGCTAGCTCAGTGAGTTGAGCAGGTGACCATATGGCTGAGAGCGGCTTGGGCCAGCTTGGGTTCGAATTTGACCCGCAGGCCTTTGCCACATGTCTTCATCTCTCTCCCTCTGCTCTCCTGGCATTTCTTCACTGTATCTGTCAATAAAGCCCGAAAAGGCCAAAAATCTAATTATACAAAAGAAGATGACCAAAAAAGTTATTCTGTTCATCTGGATGTAGCGTTTTCAGCGGGGCGAAACGTGTTGTCACTCATCCAAGTGACTTCTTCAGTGTGAGCTGACTGCAGGTATCCCCAACCTTATAAACAGTACCTTTGCACAATGATGAGCAGAGATGGGCAATAACAAGTAATATATTACTGTAATCCAATTACTTTTTTCAAGTAATGAGTAAAGTAAGGGATTACTATTTCAAAAAACGTAATTATAACAGTTACTTTTCTGTAAATGAGTGTGTCTCATGACAAGAAGCGTGAAACGTCTGCTGATATGCACGGCAGGAGATGGATCTGGAGAGAACTGGACACGGAAAACTGGAACTCGTTTCACACCCAACCAGACACTCCCACAGTACACAGTCGACAGTGTGTCGATCAACAATGGATAATATATAGTGTCGGAGAGATTACAACCATGCAGCTTTTAAAGTTTGAAAGTGCTGACGCTACCTTGAGTTTGATTCTGTAAAAAGTGACAAAAGCGTGTACACTGCGTGGGAAGAAAAATTCTACAGTGAAAAATTAAACTTCAAATCTCAGCAAACACCCAGCATGCTGCCATGGGAATGTGGGATCCTCCCAGTGACATGACTGTTGCGGCACCGGGCAAACTTCCACCGGCCCCACCCCAGGTAAACAGGTGAAAATAGATTTCAGAATGACAGGACTTTGTGCTGCGGAATCTTTGATTTTATTTATTTTTTGCTGTGCTTTACTTGCATCTATTTGAAAGAGTGAGTATAAACACAAATAATTAATGTATTTTATATTCGGGAATATGCAGAAAAAAGGTTTAAATGTTAAAGAAATTTCTTCAGATTAAAGACTGTTGCATATAATTTAACTTTTGCTTGATGCAATGTGCATAAAATTAAAAGATTAAAACTAATTAAACAACTTTCAAAAAAATACTTTTTTTCTTTTCAATTTTATATGCTGGATTATGCAGAAAAAATTTAATTGGCCTGAAAGGTCTATTGCATTATTACGTAATCAGGTTGTGTATCATGTTTTTTTTTAAGTAACTAAGTATTAAAGTAAGTAATTACTTTTGAAAATAAGTAATCAGTAAAGTAACAACATTACTTTCTTGGATAAGTAATCAGTTTTAGTAACTAACTACTGTTGTCAAGTAACTTGACCAAAACTGATGATGAGTGGTGAAATGTTTCTCCCACTAAAAACATTACATCCTGATGAACAGAAGCAACTCTTTTGGGATCTCCTTACCTGGCTTATTGGGCATGCATCAAGATAATTTTTGAGCTTAATTTCCTAGAGCAAATAACAATGAATAAAAAACCCAGTTTAGCTTGGTTCCAAACTCCAAACAAGTCAATTTATTGACTATTTCAAATGTCCAAATCTAAAGCCAATGCCTTGGTCCTGCAGCAATTTAATATATATGATATAAAGTAACAGAAATAAAGATGAGCAACTCATTTGCTACTAAATACCTTTTACCACAAACCTAGAATTTAATAGGCCTACCATTTGGGTTCTGAGTCTGCTAAATCTTGCTCTACAACTGAAACAGCTTCTGTGTTTTTGGTAAACTCTTTCCTTTCAATATATGCAATTATGCTGTAGCATAAATAATATTGTTTGTTAAAATGCTGTATAAATTATTATTATTTTTATTTATACAGTGCCAAATCACTACAGCAGTCACAGAAAAAACAATAGTTAAGTCTGTGACCAAAATTATATTAACCTGAAGTATATTCAAGAGTAACAAACCTACAAGAAATTTAGCAAAATACAAAACTTATTAAATAAATACAGTTAGTTATAGTGACAATTACAATCATTTACAGTGACACACTAGGCCATTCTCATAAATTTGGTGTCTAGAATCATCCACCATGCTAGTATAAAGCTTTTGTGTCTTTTTGTGTCAACCTCTGTTTCATATCATGACTGAGAAATACTGTCATTAGAGAGCTTGTTAATAGTCTAAATTTTGCTACCTAATTGTAAGGCGTGCTAAAAGTGAGAAACAAAAAGCTCTAAATATTGTCTTTAAAGAAAATATGGTGGTGGATGAGTGCTTTTCCTGCAAACACAGCAAGCCCTGCCTTTTTATATGGCGAGAGAAGGAGTAATCTGAACCTACAGGTTAAATGTCTTATCAAAACCAACCAAACATGTTCTCATGGGGTAAGTGATCAGCAAAAGGAATAAAGTAAATTGAATGTTAAATGTAAAATTTTATACTAAAACAAGAGATTTTATTAGAAAACTGACCAATATCCTGAATAATGCAAAAGTTAAACACACTGAAAATTTACCAAAATGAGCATTACTAAAATTGTACACAATCATTTTACATTTTTATTGTCTTTTAGTTTCCCTTTTTAGCCTACCTGCTGATACAGCTTTTCCCAACAATCCTGTGTCATCAGTCTGAAAAGAGAAAGGAAGGCCCAGCCAAATGTGTCAAAGCTGGTATAACCATTGTCTGGGTTATTTCCCACTTTGAAGCACCTATACCCCTCTGGACACTTCCTGCAAGAAAAGATCTGTTAAGATCTGAAAGAATTGTCAATGCAATACTATGAAAGAATGCATGAAACAACACTAATTCCATAAAAGTTGGGTGCTGAACAGACCAGTTGCTGGATTTCTAAGAAGAGGAAAGTTGTCCCATTTTTGGCTGATTTAGCATTCGAGCAATCCTACATCTTTGTTGTTGTATTTTTCATTTGGTGATGTGCCGAATGGGCTTTATTTCAACCCTTCTGCCTAGCAGATAGCAGAAGTTACAAAAAAAATACAAAACATAACAATAAATAGACAATAATAAAATAAAAATAAATAAATAAATTTAAAAAATGTGCAAAATGTAAATAAAAACAAAACGCAATGATTTAATTACATTCATTGTACTGCATTCATTGCCTGGCCAGAAAAATGTTCCTCTACTTAAAATTGACTTGAAAGACTTTGAATATCTTATCATCCACATTACATAACCCTCAAAAGATTCAGACAATCTAAAGTGTTCAAGGTACAAAACAACATAAATTGGATGCTCATGATCTTCAGGCATTGCAAAAAAAAAAAAAAAAAAGCATTCATGATTCTGCCATGGAAATCACTGCAAACACTCCCACACGTCATTGTCATCCACAAATAAAAAAGAAGAGGCTATCTGTGAACATGATCCAGAAAATGTTTTACGATTTGAAAATGAGCAGTGTATGCCCCCATCCAGATGGCATGATGTTCAGGGAAGGCCTTGCATATTTCAGCTGAAACAGCCTGCTTGCAGTCTAGACCTTTCACCTATTGAAAACATTCTGTGCATCCTAAAATGAAAAAATAAACAAACAAAACAAAACAAAAAAGACTATGAACAATATTCCTCTCCAGAATTTCAGCAGCTGGCCTTATCAGTTCCCAGACATTTATTGATTATTGTTAGAGATGAGGGGATGCAGTGATACTTTTTCTATTTTCTATTTTTCTTTTTCTATTTTCTATTGTAGATAAATATATATTTTTATTACATTAGAAATTTACTGCAAAAAAAAAAAAAAGAAAAAAAAAGAAATTTACTGCAGTCTGTTTTTTACACATACATAATACTGACATTTTTGTAAAACTGGGGCTGTACCAGGATTGTGTTCATTTGTTATTTTATTCAGTTCTCTTATAACTGGAGAGCCAACTTGCTTACCCAGCTCCAATGCTGCTGCCACAAAGTAATGGATGTTTTTTGTTGTCAGGCAGGTAATAGTAATGACCTGATGGGGAAAGAAGGAAAATAGCAGTTATTTATTATTGCATGCAATTCATGGGGAGACTATGACAAGAATGGTTTGTTAGAGGTCCAAAACAATACATAAAACATCAGATGTAGAATTAGGTTACAATTATAGAATGTAGAAGACAACAAGAGTGCTTCATTCTTGTATTGCAAATGTTTTATTGAATCAGAGAAGAGTGAAATACATATTAAGAGCTTAACATACACAGCCCAACAACAAGCTATTAGGACTTTTTGGCTTCTTTGTCATGGTAAGCTGTGTGGCAGGCAGGATGAACGAACCAAATGCAGGACTCGTACTTTATTTGCTGGGAAAAATAATCCATAAAATAAACACACAAAAAACAAACCAATACTTGAAAATGGAAACTAAGAACTAAACACTGGGAGGCTATAAAACTAGGAAGCTGGAAACTGGAGAAGAAGGATGAAAAAACCAGGAGCACCAAGAAAACACACAGCAAAGAGGGTATGACGCGACAACAGACTGAGGAAAACACTGGGCTTAAATACACACGGGAGTAACAAGGGAATCTGACACAGGAGGAGAGCACAGCTGGGAATCACACATAAAGACACAGAAAGGAAGCAAAACTGAATACACTGCACACAGGACAAGGAACTATCAAAATAAAACAAGAAACATGAGACATACATAAAGACGCAGACTTGACACTGGGACATAGAGACATGACTGATGAGGGGAACAGAGGGAACATGAAACATGGAGATGAGAGTAACTAAATGTGGCACATAGGGAAACTAAAGGCTACAGAAAAGTATATAACACATGGAGACAAATAAGGAAAACATGAATAACACTAAATCAAAGAATATTCATTCAGAGCCTGAACACAAATACCGGGTCGCAGACCCAGGACCATGACATTCTTACTCTATGGCCCACGATTTATTTGAATTAAGAAGACATCTATCACTATTACTATCAAACTATTTTGGTACAGTGACCACCAAGCTAGGTGAGTGGCTCCAGCAGATCCCAGGAACAACATCCAAGGTCTCTGCTGGGAAGAGTGCAGTCCTAGAAGCAGCAAAGATACTGATCAGGACCCTCAACCTTTCTTCTTCCTGATTTTGCTCTCACTCAGTATAGCTACATTTATCACTACAGCTGTCTTCCTCTGCTTGCCCACCACTACTACACTACCACTCAAAAGTTTTAGAACACCCCAATTTTTTATTGAAAAATATGCAGATTATAGTTTCTTTCCACTTTGAAAGGAAAGCATACTACAAATAAGCACAACTCTGAGGCTTGACTCAGATGAATTTTCTCTCAGCAGCAGAGGTGGCTCTTGGTCTTTCTTTCCTGGAGCGGTCCTTATGTAAGCCAGTTTTGTCGTAGCACTTGATCAGCTACAAATACCCCTGCATATGGTGGAATGGCCAACTGAAAGTCAGACAGTCGCCAGAAGCTCCCAATATTTTTTTTTCCAGTTCAGAAAAACTAAGTATATCTTAGTCAGGATGGACAATTCAACAGTGGTCTCTTACATAAACAGGCAGGGAGGAGCAT